GCCAAGGTCCTCGTCCTGCTGCCTTCGCAGTTGCCGGCTTGTCTAACTGGACCTCAAACTTCATTGTGGGCATGGGCTTCCAGTACATTGCGGTAATCATCTCCGTCTAGCTCTAGGGGGGGCACAGGGCCGAGGGAGGACATGCAGGCAGCCTTGTGCATTGCACCAGGGGCAGCTGGATCATGCAACTAGAAGAGATTTGGAGTCCCAAAACCTGGACTGAGAACAGGACTTGGTTTGCTGGGAAATTTCTTTGGGAAACATCCCTAGGGAAGAGGGTCAAACAAGGACGGGGCCAAGATTTGGGCAACTAGGTCCTGGACTGGGCTGGCCTGATTTTCTAGGCAGCAGGTGGGGGCAGGACGGTCACTAGATCACAAGTCTTGAGGTCACAAAGCTTTAGTGCCTCATTTTGTCTCCAGAATTGGTTAGCAGGCCCAGCGAAGCGCCTGGGTTTCGCCAGCTCCATCCTCATGCTCACCGCTTCACCCTCTCTCTCCTTTCAGCAACTCTGCGGTTCCTATGTCTTCATCATCTTCACGGTGCTGCTAGTCCTCTTCTTCATCTTCACCTACTTCAAGGTGCCGGAGACGAAGGGCCGGACCTTCGACGAGATCGCCTCCGGCTTCCGTCAGGGGGGTGCGAGCCAGAGCGACAAGACCCCGGATGAGTTTCACAGCTTGGGTGCTGACTCCCAGGTCTAACCAGCCCACGGCTCATCCCGTCTCCTCTGAGCCTCCTAATTTCTCTCCTGAGTGTTTTTAATATTTGTACAGAAACCAGGAAGGAGGGAGCTGGCTCTTGTGCATACGTTCCTTCTCCAGACTCCCCCACTGGCCACCTGGTTTATCGGTGACAGAGTGACTTATTTTTTTGCTAGGAACGATTTTAGCTGGTTTCATGTCCAGGATTTCAAAGCCGATAGATTCAGAAGCAATAACTAATGTTTTAAAGCCAACCAAGCAGTGTCCTCCAGCCCCTGTGAGCAGGAGGGCAGCTCCCTTTTTAATGAAATGATAGATTATTTAATGAGAAATCACATAGCGGAAGTTTTTAAAACTGGAAACTCTTTAACATTCTAATCATAGAAAAACAAATCACGTAATTTGACTAAGTCTAAAAGAACAAAAAAGCATAAAAAAAAAAAACGAGTTATTTTTAAAAACAGTTTTAAGATTTCAACCTCTGCCATGGGTTCATGGATTGGGATTCCCTGCCCTCCGGGAAGGGGGGAGCCTTGGGGCAGAGCTGAGGATGGAAAGGTCCGTAGCTACAGTCCTGCTCCTCTGCGGCTGCAGTCGGGCGCTGGACCTGAGTGTTTCCCGAGGATTGGAAAGGTCAATAGTACTGTAGTAGGTTGCAGAGCGCCGTCTCCCTTTGTACAGTCTCTGGCAGTAGTTCCCCGGCTTCTCTAGTTGAGGGCTCTCTCTCCGGCTTCATACATTTCCTTGCCTGATTTAGCTGTTCTCTTGCTGGCTGTGTGCTCCGGGTGGGCTGAGACGTCTTACAGGGCGCAGAGCAGCCGTCCGCCAGGAGGGCAGGGCATCTCTTTGGGTTTAATCTTGGCAATATTTGCCACATTGGTCAGTCACGGCACGAGGTGCCTGCAGACAGGAGCGGGGCGAGGCCTCGCTACGGAAAACCCCGAGGCAAACGGCTAAAAGGAAACAGCAGCCCTGGCCTTCCCCGGTGCAACGGCGTCCCCGAGAAGCGGAAGTGATACGTTTACAGGAACGGCTGACAGCCCCACACTACACAAAACTCACCCGTCGCTCTCACGTTAAGTCCCGGACTCACAGAAATTCATCATATGGATACCTACATTTCCTGCTCTGTGTATAGACTGGAAGATATTTATATATATATATTTTTGTTCAATGGTGTTAATAGTAGACATTAAGTTATAGTGTTTCTGATTGACAAGGAAAGTACTGTAAATATTCTTGACTATATTCACATTGTATAATGTATACAAAAAGGTACAGATACAAAGGTATAGTTTCTATAGCATCTGCAAGAAAGGCTTGTACATGGTTAGGATGACTTTTGTATAGTTTATTACCTGCACTGTAGTTGTATCTATTGCACTGAATTTTAATCTTTAGAAATACTGTTCTTTTAAAACAAAACTTAAAAAAAAACAAAAAAAAACCATAAAAACCAGTCCTTCTCCCTGAGTGCATCTGTTATAGGAGCTAATGCCACACTCCCAAAGCGACATGCAGTTAGTGAACAGTATGTTTTTGCATTTATTTGTCTGTTTTTTTTAAAGTGGCTACATTGACCACACTGGACAGAAAATAAAGGTGTGGGGGGGGACTCAAACTCATTGCAAACTCATCGCATCCGTGTGCACGGCACCCAGCGAGCGCGCACCCTTTATTTTTTTGGTGGTGGGGGGGGGAAGCAGATACCTAAAAACCAAGTGCCAAGAGAAAGGTGTGTGTGTGGTGTGCTACCAATAAAGGAGAACGTATGCGGCAGCGACCCAGCCTGCGGCGTGGCGTCCACTTCTTTCGGGCGGCCTCGCCGCTCCGCATCGTTTCACTGAAGGTGCCTCGCGGTAGCGCTGGGAAAGGGGAAATTGCCCCCTTTTGTGGGCCGGCGCTGCGTTTTTGAAGCTGAGCGTAGGTGCCGCGGCCCCC